AATCCCGATGGCAAACACCGGGGGGGGCGGCTCGTCGTTGCCAAGCGACGAAAACCCAACCCCGATGGCAATCACCGGGGGGGGGACGACGCCGGGGAGGAATAAAATGTGGCAGACGTGTGCCACCACCATCCTGATGGACGCTGACGCCGGGTGTGAGACACGAGCCGGGTGGCCCCCTTGTCGTTGACAACCCCCCCCCCCCACTCAAAAGGATGATGAACTTTAATAAGGTAGTCGGCCGTTTTTTATGTTTTCATGTGTTGATTGGTTCCCCCATTTTTTTTGTACCGGCGTGGCACGCGTTCGATTGGGCTCATTCAGCGGTGTAAAATGGGCCGGATGGGTTCGGGGAAATGTCGCCGCCCGTGGTGGAGCAACGCGGTAGGGAGGTGCCGTGAAGCAGGATGCCGTCCGTGGCACAGGGGGTGCCAGCGTTTTTTTTTAGCACGAAACGAGCAGGGGGGAAGTAGTTGTAACGCAGACGGGGGCAACGCGCCTTGTGAAGGGAGTGTTTTTCGTCCGACACGCATTCCACACACACGACAAGCACTTCACTTCATGTGTGCTAAAAACATGCAAATCAGCGACAAGGCATGAACAGGCAAATGCCGATTTCATTTCGTTGTATCTCACGCGTCCCCCCCCCTTGTTGTCCCCTCTGCGTACCCCCCGGGGGCCCACCCGAGAAGGTGAAGCGCCTGAAGTCTCTGCTGTCCAAGCTGCAGAAGTCGAGCCACAGCAAGGACGCAGACCTCGCCGCCCTCAAGGCGCCCGCGCCGCCGCCGAAGGCATTCACCGTGGCCCTCAGGGTGCGCCACGAGGGCAGCACTTGGTGTTTCGTCAAAGCTACACAGCAGGTATGTGCGTCGAGCAGGACAGCAGTATATATCGACAGATGTCGCGTATATGCTGCGTCGAATCGGGACAGTATGGTTTCGACAACGGGTGCCGGGGCTCTCGAGCAGACCGAACATCGCATACTGTACTGCTGTACTCTGTGTCGCACGTTTTTCCACGGTAAATATGGATGTAAATATCGTACCCGCCCCCCCCCCCCCCCCCCCNCCCCCCGCCAACGCTTCATGGCGTTTTTTCGAGGTATCGCCGACACGTGGGATTGTCGGCTAGACAAATAGTACCCATCAGTCCCATCAGTCCCATCAGTCCCATCAGTCCCATCAGTCCCATCAGTCCCATCAGTCCCATCAGTCTACCTGGTCACTGTGGTGGTGGAGCAAACGAGCTTTGAAAAATCGTTCAACACTGTCGCCGACGGCAGTGCGGTGTGTGGCTTTTGGCCCCCTTGTTGGTTGTGCAGCTCAGTAAGGAATCGACTCTCAAACACTACGTAGACCATGGCCCGGTCGCCCCGGTGGTCTAGTGGTATCCTCGTCATCCGCTAGTCGCAGAGGCCGTGAGTCCGAATCCCGATGGGGTGAAAACTTACGAAACATGCGGGTGAAAGCGACCTATAGCTGACAAGCTCTCGTGAGTACCAAACTTCGACGTTAGCACCGTTGACGAGGAAAAGAAGAAAAAATCCCTCGTGTTTTCCCCCTCCTTTGTGACCCTGGATGGTTGTAGTTGTACGAAAAAATACACTGAAAAGTGTGGTACTCTACATACGCTGATAAGTGTAGTACACGTCTCACCACGAAAAATGGGGGGACTGTCGCCATAATAAAAAGGACGAAAACACACACACACACACATGGCCCGTGCGCCGGTTAGTACGCACCGAGCTGCTCCTCCTAGGCGTTGTGAAAGCGGGCCACTGCTGTAGCTCGTCCGCTCAATCCGATCCCGAGAGAGATCGAAGAATGTGTCCCCCGCTTCCCCAGAATTATCGCATTTTTTTCTCGTTCCTGAATCTGGTAAGCAAAAAGAGAGCGCATCCCCTACCGACTTCGGCAGGGTGTGCGAGTCGAACTGCTTGCGACGGGCGGCATACGCGTGATCATGAGATATCTGACCCCCCCCCCCCCC